GAACTCACCATGGAGTACCTCACCAGACGCCAGGACATCTACGAGCTCGAGACGGAGGAGGACCGCAAGAAGCATGTCAAGACCAAGAGCGCGGATCCCGCTCAATGGACTCTCAGGATGCAGATTGGCAAGCCCCTTTCAAGGTCAGTGGCACAAAAGACCTGGGCCAAGGATCCAGACGATTGCAAGCATCCAGAAGATCAACTTCGACACCGAGCTGGACGGGGACACTTTTGGTACACCTGTCTCGGATGTGGCTCACGCTGGGAACGTCTCAGTCAACCAGCGGAAGCAACCTCATCAAGCTCTTCTACGCAGATCGTCCAACCAATCGAGAAGAAGAACAACCCACAGGGGTATCCGAAGAAGCTTCCAGCACCACGTTACCGTGCGGATCTGGGAGATTTTCACATCAACGTGCAGCTGAAGGAGAAGGAGACGGTGCCACAGCTGACACAAGGTCCAATCCCACCGACAGTGACACGACGTGGCATGGAGGAGATGGAAGGTTTGGTCCCAGTACGGCGTGCCAAGTCCCCCACGGCAAGAACCGGCACTCCACAGCCGGAGATGTTCATGATGATGTCCAAGGAAGAGTGGGAGGACGCCATGATGGACTATCAGGAAGTGGTGGAGGAAGAACTACAGATGGTCCATGGCGAGCACTACACGGAGCACGACCGGGAGGAGTTCCTGGACCGTTGAAGAAGCATTTTGCCACCTATGAGGTGAAGAGTCTCGAGCAGATGAAACACGAAGATGCTTCTCTGCACAAGACTGTGCATGGAATCGCTCGCAGCGCCTTTTTGCTGATGATCTCCTTTGTCGCGGCCGCAGATGCCTCATTAGCGGCTTCGACTACAGCCTATGAGATCTCGAATTCAGACACTTTTTGCTTTGACCAGCATAAGAACTTCACTGCTGGCGTTGACAACCTTGATCTTTTGCTGGGAAAACCAACTCATCTTCTCGGCAGCACTGATGATGGAAAATGGCACCCCATGGACTTGGTTTCACCGACACAAGTTTTGGAGCAGTCTCAACATCCATGTCGAGTTTGTTGGGTGTATCCAACCAATGAGAGCAACAAATGGCTTGGCGTGGAGGACCATGACTGGCATCGCAGTCCTAAGTCTCTCCCGAAGAATGTGAAGACCTTCATACATCAAGCGGTCACAGCCAAGCATGGGCACCAGGCTGACGTGATGGAGATCTACAGTCCACCACGCATGACCAAAGAGGCTAAGAAGCAGAATGAGCAGGGCACACTTCCTCGACTACGCCTTGGTCAAGCGCTTGATCTCACTACAGGCTGGGAT